TAATGAATTGGTTAAGAAATTTCCAAAGCTGCTTCTCATCGAGGGTCTGACTTTCCTGGGGTTTTCGTTACATCTCCTGTCATGTATTCTGTAAGTTGTGATGCTGGTGTTTTCTTGATCTTCCCAGAAGGTGTCAGTGGAAGAGTTTCAGAAAACAACCAGGACACACGTTCCTCCCTCAGATGGATTTTCAGTAGTTTGTTGACTGTGTTATCGAGGTGCTCCAGTGGCCTTATCCCGACACCTGGAATGACAACTGAGTTTGCACAAACTCTGGCCATGATTTCTGTCAACCAACAGTTAAAAGTGAATAGCAGATGTGACCAATTTCAATATGGTAAAAAGTGCAAAAAAATGTGCTACTCAGAATGGATTGAGATACGGTACTTTCTCATCCCACTTACCATTTTTTATGCTGCCCCCTTGTATCATTGTTTACAAGGCCATTAAACTGATGAATGTATTTAATTCTGCTGGGCCTCGCTGAGACATTTAGAAGCACAAATCTGTGAAAAATGTGTAGATGGTAACCATTAAAACCTGGATCTACTTTTTCTCTTGGGATATATTGGGAAATCAAGAGCAAAATTTTGAAGCAGCTCTACACTGAAATTTATGTGTTGGGTTAAATTCCTTGGGAATTCATCCCTATGTTGGTATTGTTGCTAATTGTAGTCATAACTTTTTTTTTGCAAATAAAAAATATTATCCTAATTTTCATGTATTAGGTACCTGTGAGGATCCAGGAATTTTACATAATCACAAGTCTGTTAGGCAGGTGGGTTTATTTCTAATGCATAATTTAGGAAACAAAAGCTCTGATGTCATATAGCTGAAAGAGAGCCAATCTGGGATTTAAACCCAGGTGTGTCTGACCTGGTTGGCGCTAGTGGTAAAGAACCCACCTACCAATGCAGGAGATGTAAGAGATGTGGGTTCGATCCCTGGGATGGGAAGATTCCCTAGAGAAAGAAATGGCAATCCACTTCAGTATTCTTTCCTGGAGAATCTCGTGGACAGAATCCCATGGACAGGCTGCAGTCCATAGGGTTGCACAGGATCAGACATGACTGAAGCAACTTAACCTGCTCACAGCGTGCGTGTGTCTGACCCCAGAGCTTGTTTGTTACTCAACTGCAGTAGGTTGTATGTACAGGGCTGCAAGGCTCAAAGTAGGTAATTCTTCCTGATTTAGCAATGAGTTCAGGAAATTTCACACTTTGGAATTTAATTACAAATGGCAGTAATTTAGAACACCAATCCAAGTGAAGCCTGCATCAAGATTTCCTTTTTTATGGCACTTTGCACAATTTGTAATCATGTTTTATTTATAATTATGTATACATTTGTATGTTGTTTATTTCACATCTTCCCCCAGTGAAGGCCAGCATGTTGGCTTTTCGTTGCTTCTGAGATCTACATGTTTTACATTTTAATGTCTGTGAATTCAGAATGCAGCTTAAAATTGAGGTTGTTTTTAAGTGTAATTGGCAGTGTTTTGTTTTTCTCTTTGGAGGTCCTCTAAAATAGTTATGCATTTTACAATGAACGTTTTTTTTTAGTGTTTGATTAAGTGTGATTTTTAAAATTAAATTGACTTATTTATTTGGCTGTTTTGGGTCTTAGTCTTACATAATCACTGGCTCACGAGACCTTTGTTGCATCATGTGGGATCTTTTGTCATGGCCCATGGGCTCTGGAGCACAAGGGTTCAGTAGTTGTGGCACTGGGGCTTAGTTCCTCTGCAGCATGCAAGATCTAGTTCCCTGACCAGGGATCGAACCTGTCTTCCCGAATTGCAAGGCTGATTCATAACCACTGGACCGCTAGGGAAGTCCCAAGCTTGTGTTTTAATTAGCTGCTCTATGCTTAATACATAGTACAGTGCCTGGTCCTATAAAAAGTACTCACATTTGCTGAATGAAGAGTGAGTGAATGAATGAAAGTGAAACTTTAAACCTTGCCTGAAGGTACTTGGATTTCTGGATGAAGTCTCCTGCCTATATGAAGTTCATTGTCCACTCTTGTATTCTCATTATGTCTGACTTGAGATTTGTGAAATGGTCAATATACTCAGCTTGGAACAATGGCCCATAAAGATGGGGCTGGAGGACTCCTCAGCTTAAAAGTTCCTGTAGGAGGAGGGGGCAAAAGGAGAAGGGGGTGGCAGCAGATAAGATGGTTGGACGGCATCACTAGCTCAGTGGACATGAATCTAGGCAAATTCTGGGAGAGAGTGCAGGACAGAGGAGCCTGGCATGCTGCAGTCCGCGCGGTGGCAGAAAGCTGGATGTGACTGAAAAACAGAAACGGCGAGGTGTCTCGCTTGCTGAAGCCGTCGCCTGGTAGAAAGTACTCATGGAGAAACTCACCCGAGTCTCCCTCTGAGTGGCGTTTGATGCCCTTCTCCAATGGAAACCGACTCTATTGTCGGCTGGCAATTAGGCGGCAGGGGGTCAGATGCATGCATGTGCTTTGATTGGTGTGCTCTAGTAGTGTNAGAAAGCTGAGTGCCGAAGAATTGATGCTTTTGAACTGTGGTGTTGGAGAAGACTCTTGAGAGTTCCTTGGACTGCAAGGAGATCCAACCAGTTCATCCTAGAGGAGATCAGCCCTGAATGTTCATTGGAAGGACTGATGCTGAAGCTGAAACTCCAATACTTTGGCCACCTGATGCGAAGAAATGACTTATTTGAAAAGACCCTGATGCTGGGAATGATTGAAGGCTGGAGGAGAAGGGGAATGACAGAGGATGAAATGGTTGGATGGCATCATCAACTCAATGGACATGAGTTTGAGTAAGCTCTGGGAGTTGGTGATGGGCAGGGAAGCCTGGCATGCTGCAGTCCATGGGGTCGCAAAGAGTCGGGCATGACTGAGCAAGTGAACTGAACTTGAGACCTCATGGACTGTAGCCCACCAGGCTCCTCTGTCCATGGGGTTTCCCAGGCAAAAATACTGGAGTGAGTTGCCATTTCCTTCTGCAGGGGATCCTCTCAACCCAGGGATCAAATCCCGGTCTCTTGCATTGCAGGCAGTTTCTTTACCGACTGAGCTTCCAGGAAAGCCCCTCCTTTGTGCTGCTTGATGACAATTCTCAGTGAACCTCCTTCACTCAAGGGGATTCCTTAAGACACCTACTGTCTTGAGTCTGAAATTCAGCCCCAGAGGTTGAAAGACTGCTGTTTATTGCGGGGCCTCGAGAGAGCCATGGTGATGCCTGCCAAACCCAGGATGAATGCCATCAGCCATCTGTGGAAATCTTCCCAGAAAGTAACTCTTCCCAAGAGAGATTCTTGTATTAATAAATGAGCTGCTGATGAAATGATGATGGTGCCTAAAATATCATTAGGGAAGCTGCGATTTCAATGTAACTAATGAAAGATAAAGGGTGACATAGTGAATTTCATCTCTGTCCTGAGGTCATGTGTTGACAGAGGATTCTTGGGACTGATACTTAGATACTTAGAGCAAGGAGGATGAGAAAATACTGCGATTTGACCTTTCATCCTGGCACAGAGGAGAATGAGGGCTAGTCTAGATACCATCTTCGTTCATGGTTAGGACAGAAAACTGTTGCTTGCCTATACCCAGAGACTGACTAAAAAACTATCCCGTAAACCAACTCTAACTTCCTGTGTTTTTTGTGTATGTGTTTCTTTTTAAAAAACATTTATTTATTGATTGGGCAGCATGCAGGATCTTCAATCTTTGTTGCAGCATGCCAATTCTTAGTTGGGGCATATAGGATCTAGTTCTCTGACCAGAGATGGGACCCCAGTACCCTGCATTGGGAGGTGGAGTCTTAGCCACTGGACCGCCAGGGACATCTCCAGTGCTTTGTTTACCAAACAGTATTTAGGTCTAAGTGTTGTCTCTCTGTTAACTCTCCACATGGAATGAAATCACTGCTCGGTTGTTCAATCGGGTCCAACTTTTTGTGGCCCCATGGACTGTAGCCTACGATGCTCCTCTGTCCATAGAATTTTCCTGACAAGAATACTGGAGTGGGTTGCCATTTCCTTCTCCAGGGGATTTTCCCAACCTGGGGAACGAACCCGTGTCTTTTTCGTCTCCTGCACTGCAGGTGAATTCTTTACCACTGCGCTACCTGGGAAGCTATGTATGGAGGCCCCTTCCCTAATGTTGGCTATTGGAGTGAATCTCCCAAGTTCAGGTACCAAACCGACGTCCAAATTAGCAGTAGGTATCAATACCAAATTAGCATGCTGGCTTTCAACTGGGTCTCATGTGAGAGTAATTAGCAGGATCTTGGTAGGATGGGTCCCCTGGTTCCCGATTTATCCTTGGATTACCTGACTGGATTTGCGTTCCTGAAACTTGAACTTTAAGGACTAAAACCTGGATTCAACATGTCCAACCTTAAATGTCCTGCCATTCATTTATCTTGATGAGAGAAATCACACCTACTAGACTTCTCAGATCACGTTGGCTCTGATTCCCCATCATGTCTTTACAGCAAGGATGATCAAGATCTTTAGTCACAGAGAATAAATAACCTTGGTTTATTTGTAAGTACAGCTCTGTGAGTGCAAGTAATTTATGGACATCATTTGCTATTTGCATATGAAGTAGGCTTGTTTTTTATGGGGAGAAAATGGCTCCATTGGGTTACAATTAGGCTACCTGACAATCACAATTAGTCACAAGCCTGGCAGTTAATCGAGCACACAAAAGTTGTTTAGACAAAGATGGACTGAATGTCTTGTGCAACTGATTCAGGGCTGTGGCTTCTCTGTTTTCTGTTTTGATACGGTTTAAAGTTACTCACTGTTCAAAGAAATGATTCAAATATCTCTGTTGACTTCAAGCTTACTGTTGGGAAGTGTCTAGAATTAAACGAACCTCAGCGGTTGTGTTGCAACCCAGCTGTTCAAATGCATTGATAGGTTGATAAGCATGAATGGGAAACACGGTTCAACTGTATAGCGTGTAAACAGTATTGCCCTAACAACACAGGGCTTTGGAAGAGAGGAGAGGCCAAGGCAGAGAGCCTCTAGAAGGAAAACTTGAATTCAAGTATAGGTTTTAATTTTTATTCCATTTATGGTGCATAATACATGCAAATTGGACATGTAAACATGTGAACTTCTGGTCCTCCAAAAGACTTTTCATCTGAAAGCCTGTTGGATGATGAATTGGTCCCCCAGGAGCTAGAAGATCATTCTGGAAGAGTCTGTAAGCTGAACAGATTGCTGGGATGTTTAGAATCGGCAGGCGACAGCTCTGGAAGCAGAGTGTCACACGCGTTTTAATGGTAAGGAGCTGCTGTCTATGAGCTTGCACGTGTCTTAGAACATCATCTCTTACACCTGTGTGCAAAAATTCCTAAACAAGTTCAAAGTCGTGTTCTGATGAACCTGTGAGAAACATGCTTATCTACTAATTTTTGGATAGTGCATAAGGCTATATGTTATTTCAAATTTAAAATTAAAAAGGAGTTGCATCTTTAGGCTTTTCTGCATCTTGTCACCTAAACTGTGGCTTCTTGTAGAAATACAGGCTCCATCTTTTGGGATAATGCTTGTTGTTCTGTTGCTAAGTTGTGTCCAGCTCTTTGTAACCCCATGGATTGCAGCACATTGGGCATTCAAGCCAGGCTCCTCTGTCCTTCACTGTCTCCTGGACTTTGCTCAGACTCATGTCCACTGAGTCAGTGATGCTACTGCATCATCTTATCCTCTGCCACCCTTTTCTCCTTTTGCTTTCTGTCTTTCATAGCATCAGGGTCTTTTCAAATGAGTCAGCTCTTTGCATCCGATGACCAAAGTATTGGAGCTTCAGCTCAACATCAGTCCTNCTGAGGAATCTCTCTCAAGGTCAGCATCTTCCAGCCAAGTCCTTGAACTTGTTGGCCTGCAAACGCTTATTATTTAAGACCAAGTACAAGTGCCACCTTCTCTGCAAAGCCTCCCTGACACTTTAGGAGGAGGTGGGGGCTCCCTTCCCTGGGTCCTCCCAGCACTGTGATGTGCTCTCATCACATCACTGCGGTGAGATGGCATTTGTCTGCTGTGAGTTCCCAGATGACTAGATGTTGCTTCCTCCATCTCTAATAGCCTTCCCTTAACCCAGAACCTGGTACTTGTTGTTCAGTTGCTAAGTCATGTCTGACTCTTTGTGACCCCATGGACCTCAGCTTGCCAGGCTCAGAACCTGGTACTAAAACACCCTAGTTTATGTTTTTGCAATAAATTGAATTAATTAAATGTTCACATGTCTGAATATTTTTCCTGTTCTTCACTTTTCCGTGCTTCAATACCAAATCACAAAAATGAAAATTGCTGATAACATCGCGAGTATAATGAATGAACTGGATTCTTTCTTGGCACTAGTTAGTTACCTTTTAGAAGTATGTTAAGTTTTTTGGAAGTTTCTATACATTTGGGGTGCTGGTTCTGTTTACCCCCCCATGTATGATATTAACAGAATTACCTTAATAATGTTGCAGTGTATTATGTAAGTAATTACACATTTTCTGTTTAGTGCACTCATTTGATGGTTTATTAAGTAATACCTTCATCACCTAAAATAATCAATGACAGAGATTCCCAAACTGCTTAAGGTACAAAATTTAGCCTCTATGTTTAATCTTAGTCTGCAACTATTACTGTAGTGATGCTATATTGTCATTAGATTATTGTAATGTAATAATTGACTCTGTTCAGAATAAACCATAAGCTCTCTGGATTTAGAAAAGTCAAACCATGTATCCTTTTCATTGTATAATAAACACAAATGCTTGTCAATGAAAAAACTTGAAATAATTCTGTATATATTGACTCAGGCATCATGATGCCTGCCCCACCCCTCTTTTTTTTTGGCTTTTCTCAAAGATGAAGAATGCTTGGTACCTACTTTCAAGAGTACCATGGACATGAATTCCAGACTCAACAGATTTTGTTTTTCTTTCTTTCCCTGAAATTAAACTGGGATTTGTTAACCTTTAGAAAAAAACACCTGAAAGATTTATGAGAGTCCTCTTGACCTAAATTCATTTACTTGCAAACCTAGTTTTGAAATGGGGGCAAGTTTTCTCCCTGCTGCTGAAATATGCATCATTCATGTTTTCCACTTACGTCCTGATGCTAGGGATTAGTGTTGCTCACTGACTTTCCTGGGCTTGCTAGGTTTCTCTAAACAGTGATTCTTGAGGGGGTGGGAGGTAGAGACTGGTTGGGGAGAGAGGGCACCTCCTTCCACTGCTGAGAAACTCCCCTGGAGGGGCCACTGTTACTCAGGGAATACACAATGGAAGCCAAGCCAAGAAAGGAACCTTTGCTCTCAGATTCCTCTTGAAGGCTGAAAAGATGTCGGTGTTGTTATTCTTTGGCAAGATAGCCAAGCTGATTTCAGTGTTCTCTTAATCAGGCCCAGGCGTGTTTGGTCCTGTGAGCACCTTTCACGTGCATGGATCAAAACAGTTTCCTTGGACCTTGGGGAGGTGAATGGCTCTAGGTCACAGCGGTCCCCAACCTTTTTGGCACCCGGGACAGATTTAGTGGAAGACAGTTTTTCCATGGCCTGGGTAGGGGGAATGACTTTGGGATGAGTCAAGCTCATTACATTTATTGTGCACCTTATTTCTATTTTTATTATATCAGCTCCACCTTAGATCATCAGACATTAGATCCTGGGGGTTGGGGACCCTTGTTTTAGGATGTAACTGTGGGGAGTGGGCAAGTGCTGCTTGTTAATGCCTAGGTGGAGGCTCCCAATCCTAATGGAGTCACAGCTCGACGTGGCCACGTAGTCACTACACCACCTCTAGATCCCGGGAGAATGTGACTCGAGGTGCAGAATCCACCCACTCCACAAGTATCGTTGACCACCTACTCTGTGCCTGCCACTGGGCTCCACAACACTTTTGGGCCTCTTGGAGTTGAGCTGAAACCCATCCTTCCTATCAATTCTTGCACGACTCAAATAATGAGAGAAAGGAAAGATCTAGAGTTACAGCGATCCCAGCTTTATGCACTCGAATTTTCCTAAGTTCCTAACTCAAGTGAAAAACCTTGTGGTGTTCATAAATTATGATCATGTCATCAAATGCTTTCCTTTGAGACAGTGTTCTCAGGCTGGGCCACCACTGTAATCACAAGGGGAGCTTTTGGGAAACACACCTCTACACAAGAGGGGTCAGAGTTTCTGGGGAGACAAAGGAATCAGCGTTTTAAAGTCTCCAGGTGATTCTGACGAGCATCAGCTCTGAGCATCCTGGTTCCTTTGATGAATAAGGGAGGTTTTGGGACTTCAGCCCCATGCCATATATAATGGGGCTTCCCTGGTGGCTCAGTTGGTAAAGAATCCGCCTGCAATGCAAGAGACTCAGGTTCAATCCCTGGGTCCGGAAGATCCCCTAGAAGAAGAAATAGCAACTCACTCCAGTATTCTTGACTGGGAAGTCCCATGGTCATGGATAAAGTGAATGATGACATTATATATGTATTTTTTTTTTTTTAGCAAGTGAGTGAAAACCACTTGAATTATATGGCGTCTGTTGCCCAAGGGGACTTGGAATTGTACAAGAGTGGTATTCCTGATTTTGGACTAAAACCTCTGTAGGTCTTGGGGAGGTGAATGGCTCTAGGTCACAGCGGTCCCCAACCTTTTTGGCACCCGGGACAGATTTAGTGGAAGACAGTTTTTCCATGGCCTGGGTAGGGGGAATGACTTTGGGATGAGTCAAGCTCATTACATTTATTGTGCACCTTATTTCTATTTTTATTATATCAGCTCCACCTTAGATCATCAGACATTAGATCCTGGGGGTTGGGGACCCTTGTTTTAGGATGTAACTGTGGGGAGTGGGCAAGTGCTGCTTGTTAATGCCTAGGTGGAGGCTCCCAATCCTAATGGAGTCACAGCTCGACGTGGCCACGTAGTCACTACACCACCTCTAGATCCCGGGAGAATGTGACTCGAGGTGCAGAATCCACCCACTCCACAAGTATCGTTGACCACCTACTCTGTGCCTGCCACTGGGCTCCACAACACTTTTGGGCCTCTTGGAGTTGAGCTGAAACCCATCCTTCCTATCAATTCTTGCACGACTCAAATAATGAGAGAAAGGAAAGATCTAGAGTTACAGCGATCCCAGCTTTATGCACTCGAATTTTCCTAAGTTCCTAACTCAAGTGAAAAACCTTGTGGTGTTCATAAATTATGATCATGTCATCAAATGCTTTCCTTTGAGACAGTGTTCTCAGGCTGGGCCACCACTGTAATCACAAGGGGAGCTTTTGGGAAACACACCTCTACACAAGAGGGGTCAGAGTTTCTGGGGAGACAAAGGAATCAGCGTTTTAAAGTCTCCAGGTGATTCTGACGAGCATCAGCTCTGAGCATCCTGGTTCCTTTGATGAATAAGGGAGGTTTTGGGACTTCAGCCCCATGCCATATATAATGGGGCTTCCCTGGTGGCTCAGTTGGTAAAGAATCCGCCTGCAATGCAAGAGACTCAGGTTCAATCCCTGGGTCCGGAAGATCCCCTAGAAGAAGAAATAGCAACTCACTCCAGTATTCTTGACTGGGAAGTCCCATGGTCATGGATAAAGTGAATGATGACATTATATATGTATTTTTTTTTTTTTAGCAAGTGAGTGAAAACCACTTGAATTATATGGCGTCTGTTGCCCAAGGGGACTTGGAATTGTACAAGAGTGGTATTCCTGATTTTGGACTAAAACCTCTGTAGGTTTGGAGGAAGAAAGAATACATGGGCATGTGAAGGCTAAGCCTTTAAAAATTTTTTTTGAAAATGTTTTATTTTGTATTAGGGTATAGCCAATTAACAATGTTGTGATAGTTTCAGGTGGACAGCAAAGGGACTCAGCTGTGTATATACATGTATCCATTCTCTCCCAAACTCCCCTCCCATCCAGGCTGCCACATAACATTGAGCAGAGTTCCCTGTGCTAGAGAGTAGGTCCTTGTTTGTTATCTATTTTAAATATATGTGTGGGTACACGTCCATCCCATAGTCTCACTAAATCTTGGTCAGGTTCGGACATTTGGGGTGTAGAAAATGGACTCTTAAGTTCGGTTCAGTTCAATTCAGTTGCTCAGTCATGCCTGACTCTCTTTGTGACCGCATGGACTTCAGCACGCCAGGCCTCCCTGTCCATCACCAACTCCCAGAGTTTACTCAAACTCATGTCCATTGAGTTGGTGTTAGAGTTTGGATTATGGAATGCTGGGGGGAGAGGAGGTAAGGTGGTGATGGGGACACGCCTCTAAGCAGGTTTTGGGTTGGCT